CAACCGTCAAACCCCTTGGATTTCGCCTTCGCTTTGACCAACATAAATATTTTCTTTCAATAGATTCAGCCTTGCATGGCTTTGCCTGAATCTTCATGAGAGAAAGGACTCCTGGGAGTCTCAACCTTGAAGGAAAAGAGAAACGGAGGAACTTTGATACCAATTTGGGGAACCCATGTTTTTTCAAGCTTGTTTCTTAGATCTGAAATTCTGACAAGTAGACGAAGAACTTTGTAGAACTGGTTGGGAATCTGAGACGAGGAGGGAAAGGGGAGTATGGGGTGCTAAAATGGTGGGGTTTAAAGGAGTTAGGGTTTTCAGTTAGATCTTCATTCGAGGATTCGAACCATTCAGGCTTGATTCGAAGGAAAAGGAGTGAGGATTTGGAATGGGGAGGTGAAGGGGAGTCTGTGGTATAGATTTGGGGTGGATTGGAGGCGGCACCACCACCGGAGGAAGCTAGGGCGGCGCTAGGGTTAATGGCTGTCTCTGAAAAGGGGGTGGAGTGAGAGAGACGAGTTAGAGGGGGGGTAGGGGGCTTTAGGACAGTTATATACTTTAGAGGGACCAGTTCCAAGCCGTTCGATCAATGGGAGATCAATGGCTCAGATTAAAAGACCTAAACGGTGTCGTTTGGTCATAGAGAAAAGCGAACCGGGTAGGGGAACGGTTCAGGGCAGGTTTTGAACGGGTTAAGGGTGGAATTGATTGGGCTTGGGGATATTTAATTAAAAGAGCCCAAAATCCTTATTCTTTATTTCCTTTTCTTTTCCTTTTCAATTTCTTTTTAATTTCAAATCCTTTTTTTTATTTTCAAAAATAAAAATAAAACCTAAATTAATTCCTAACCCAATTATACTACCAAATTAGGTTAATTACTAAAAATAATATTTACGACAACTAATTAATTACCAAATTAAAGGAAAACTACAAATTTCGAAGCTAAAATTAACAATGCGAAAATGAGTTATTTTTGTCATTTTTTCTATTTTTGTAAAACAAACTAATTTACTAATTAATCTAAAAAATATAAAATTAAATCCTAAATGCAAATGCAATATATTTTTGTATTTTTATGAATTAAACATGCACACAAAAATGCAAATAATCAGAAAATTCTACAATAACTCCTAAAATAACAAATATTTAAAAGAAAAATCTAATTTTTGGGATTCTGTAGGAGTAATTCATGTGAGGCAAAAATCACGTGCTCACAGTGTCCACTCGGAATGGGACCGTTAAATGGAGGGGTAAATATATTTAAATGGGTAATGGCAGGGATAGAAAGCATCGAATAGTATAACGAAGGGTACATATAACTAATATTTGATAGTACAGGGACACATATAACCCTTTTCCGTTTTAATTATTGCTTTAGCTCAAAAAAATTGTCCCGAAATAATTGTCATTAAAAATTCAACACTAAATTTATAAATTATTTCCAACCACCCTTATACAAAGATAGTAGTAGTTCTTTTTAATACTACTGAATTCTCCAAATGCATTTAATAGGGGTAACTTAGTAAACTATATATTGTTTATATTATTTTTTTAATAGCGTATAAAAAGCTAAAATGACTAGGGGTGGGCATAGTTTGGGCAAGTCCGAAATCCAAACCGAAATTCAATTTTTTTTGGATTTTTGGTTTGGATTTTCGGATTACGGATTGGATGTTGGATTTAATTTTTAAAATTGGACATTGGATTTGGTACTCAGATTTTTGGATATCCGAAAATCCAAAATCTTTATACTTTATATATAGTCCATTATCCATATGCCAATAGTAATAAGTTTAACACCCTACTTATTAGATATTATCTCATATATTAAATATTAATTACTAAATTATTTTTAGAATTATTTCTATTTGGACATGATTTTACTATGCTACTTCTAATCTACCATATTAATGTCTCTGTTTTATTTTTTTAAATAATAATTTCATTACTTGGATACTTTATTTGGATCATTGCGGCAAGAATGAAAAACTTTTCAGGCAATTTAACATGAGTACTTCATTTGGATATTCTTTTTTATAAAAAGCAGAAATATCTCAACTTATACGTTCAAAACCGAAAATCCATAATATCCAAACCGAGTAATCTGAAACCGAACTTAAAAAATCTGATCCAATCCGAACTTATTTGGATTGGATTTGGATTGTCATTTCTTCAATCCGAAAATCGAAAATCCAAACCGAAATTCACATACCCAATCCGAATTGCCCGAACGCCACACCTAAAAGCGACGATTAAAATGGAACGATAGAATAGTAGACAATTTTGCATCAGTAAAGCAACAAAATCATAACATCTAGAATTCATTTGTTGAATTTGGTTTAACCATGTATGAAGATTGTGGTTTTAGGTCTGTAACGCGAAGTTGAACAAGGAAAGAACTTAACAAAGTCAAAATCATCACAAACAGATTAATGTTCAGTCACACAAATTTATCAAACATGAGATTCCAAATTTTGGACTTTTGGTCATCGCTCTTTCACATATAATGAAACCTTAGTCTTTTAGCAAAAAAATAAAAAAGAAAAAGAAAAACCTTAGTCTTTAAAAACCCGAAAAATCGAACCAAATTGAAAAGCTAATCAAACCAACCAAAAAAATCGATACTTTTTAAGTTTGGTTTTGGTTTGAAATTTTAAAAACCGATCAAATTTGGTTTGGTTTTGGTTTTAATAAAAACAGAAACCGAAAAAAACCGAACCAAAACGACTATAGAAGTAGCTATTTAAATTTATTATTAGACCTATATATATGTATATTTTTATATAAAGTTTCTAAAATTTTATGGTACATATTAGTCGTTTGTATTTTTAGTCCAGTTTTTGCTATTATTATAATCTAATTCTTGGTCTTTACATTGTAGTTTGATTGGTAGTTTTCTTTTGCTAAGTACAAGAATTTATTTCATGTTAAAAATAATTAATTTTTAATTGAGTACTTAAATTATTCATCACTATTTGTTTCAATTATCATCAATATATCATGATAAATGATAGATTTCTCAAAGAGCAATTGGTTTGATAGTGTTACGTTGAAAATTTAGTCGACGAAATATGAGTTTGGTTGTGTATATCTCGTATTTAAGAAAAAGCCCGATAAATAACCCGAAAAAACCGAAAAACCGACAAAAATCGAATTGATAAAAAACTGAATTAATTGGTTCGGTTTGATTCCAATATTTGAAGAACCGACTTACTTGGTTTAGTTTCTTTTTAAGGAAATACCGAACCAACCCCTAGTTACAATAATTTTTGCCAGTTTTCTTGTTGAGCTATTTTTGCAACAAAAGAAGGGCTGGTCTTTTTAAAGATTATTAAGCTTAATTTTTAAATCCAGTCTTCGTAAAAATAGTTCAAGCAAGCACTTATTGGAAAAAAAAAAAAACAATCAATTTTTTAGAATTTCAAAGAAACACCACCTATGGGTGTCAAATTTGCACCAAATAAAATTTGTGGCCATAAAAATGTATACTACTTATTAATAAGTAACCAATTCTTTATCATTTCTAGAACACCTAATGTTAAGGCTAAAATTGAAAGAAAATTAATTCATTCTTACTTCCTCCATTCCATTTTACTTGTTCAAATTGTATTTTGCACTCTCTTTAAAAAAATATTAATGATATTTCAAAATTTAAATTTGACTACTAATACTTTAATTAGTTTAAAAATAATGACTTAATACTAACAGTACAATTGGAGAATAATATATATTTTTTTTCTCTTAATTTGTTAGAGTGGACTATACTGTGTATATTGATATTTGTTTTTGCATACCTTCCTCTATATTATGTGATTAGGCATGCTAGCGTTGAGCCAATCTCTCTACTTGCATAAAGGAAGGGTAAGGTTGCATACTCACTACCCTACCTATACCCTACTTATGAGACTATATTAAGGTTGGGTACAGTTTGGGCAAACCCAAAATCCAAACCGAAATTAGAAATTTTTGGATTTTTGGTTTAGATTTTCGGATTACGGATTGGATTTCATATTTAATTTTTAAAATTTTTGAATTTCAGATTGGATACTGGATTTGGTACTTTAGATTTTTGGATATCCGAAAATTCGAAATTTTGTAATTTATATTTAGTGTATTATTGATATGTCAATAGTAACAAAGTCTAATACCCTACCCATTAAACATAATCTCATATATTCAATACAAATTATATTAACTTACTATCATAATACTTTTCATTTGGACATGATTTTTTTATTGCTACTTCTTATGGGCCTTACTAATGTCTTTGTTGTATTTCCTTGATGGTGATTTCATTGCTTGAATTAATATTTTATTTGGATGATTGTAATGATAATGAAGAACTTTTTAGGCAATTTAACATGAATACTTCATTTGGATGTTCATTACTGTAAGAAGAAGAAGAAGAAGAAGAAGAAGAAGAAACATCTCAACTTATGAGCTCAAAACTGAAAATCCAAACTGATAAATCGGAATTCGAACTTAAAAAATTCGGTACAATCCGTATTTATTTGGATTGGATTTGGATTGTCAATACTTCAATCCGAAAATCGAAAATTCAAACCGAAATTTTCATCTCTAATTCGAACTGCCCCAACGCCCACCCGTAAACTACACTAAGTACGTTATTGTTTGTTGTACCGAAGTAAGAGAGTAAAAAAAAAAATAAGTAAAAGAGTCGGGAGAGAGTAATTTTGAAAAATAAATATTTTAAAATAACTAGTTTTAATAAGCATAACATTAATTGGGAATTAAATACAATTAAATATCTCCACGTTATGTGAAGAAAAAAGAAGGAAATTACTCTTCAGCATGCCATCCCACGCTATCATAATAAATTCATACCTACTCTTCAGCATAGAACCTTCCTTGTAATCTTCGCCCCCTTCTTTTCCAGAAGACAAATAAACGTGGATCAAGTCGTCGTCGTTTTAATCAAGAAAATACTAATAATACTATTCAAAGTCAAAGCAGGCATTCTTGAATTAAACAAATCAAAACGAGTAAACATACAGCTATAAACCATTCCTTCACATAATTCCCATAAAAAAAAAATCCCCTCTTCCTCTCCTAAATCATCTCTCTAATTAAACTCTTCCTTTCATTTTTCTTGAATTATTCACAATTATATAGTCGACTCCAACTTGTTTGAGATTAAAACGCAGTTTACAAAAAAGTCAACACAAATTATGAGTTCTAACGATCCATCGTCTAGCACTGGAGTTTTTGGATCGGATGAAAATACAACAATTAGAAGAAATTCAAAGAGACCAAAGTATTCAAAATTCTCACAACAAGAACTTCCAGCATGTAAACCAATCCTAACACCAAAATGGGTGATTTCTATTCTTTTACTTATTGGTGTTGTTTTTATTCCAATTGGTCTTGTTTCCCTTTTAGCTTCTCGAGATGTTGTTGAAATTATTGATAGGTATGATGTTGAATGTGTACCAAATAATTCAACAAATGACAAAATTGGCTATATAACAAATAAAAATCAAGATAAAACTTGTGTTAGAACTCTAAGAGTGCCCAAAAAAATGGAACAGCCAATTTATGTGTATTATCAGCTTGAGAATTTTTATCAGAATCATCGTAGGTATGTGAAAAGTCGAAGCGATCAACAATTGAAAAGTGCTAGTAATGTAGCTGATACAGGTTCTTGTGAGCCTGAAGATTTTGCTAATGGTAAACCAATTGTGCCTTGTGGATTAATCGCTTGGAGTTTATTTAACGATACTTATACATTTGCTAGTAACAATCAAGAATTGATTGTGAACAAAAAGGGTATATCTTGGAAAAGTGATAGGGATCATAAGTTTGGGAAAGATGTTTTCCCTTCGAATTTTCAGAGTGGGACTTTAGTCGGAGGTGGGAATTTAACGAATGTATCATTGAGTGAACAAGAAGATTTAATTGTTTGGATGAGAACTGCTGCACTTCCAACATTTAGGAAGTTATATGGGAAAATTGAGAGGGATCTTATGGAAGGTGAAATCATAAATGTGACGTTGCAGAACAATTACAACACGTATAGTTTTGATGGGAAGAAGAAGCTTGTGCTATCGACAACAAGTTGGATTGGTGGAAAGAATGATTTTCTTGGCATTGCTTATCTTACAGTTGGTGGATTGTGTTTCTTTTTGGCTTTGACTTTTATGATTGTGTATCTAGTTAAGCCAAGGCAACTTGGAGATCCGACTTATTTGTCGTGGAATCGGAATCCAGGAGGTAACTAGCATTGCAGATGAGGCTGGTGGCTTGTCTTCTGGTAACTGTTTGTGTAAAAGTTGTTTTTTGATGTGTTCTTGATATAGTTTTTAGACTCTTTTGCTAGGAAACAATGATATGTAATGAAGTATATTTCCTTTGATAAGTGTTTATTCAAATTTACATATGTATAATGGAAGTTTTTGCTTAAAGGAGCTTGTTCATTCTTGTCTTACAAACTATGGTTCGAGTTGATTATCCGCAGGTTGGCAGCATATAAAGTTTTTTGTGTCTTGTGATAATTGAAGGAGAGCCTTTGCTGCCATTTGACTAGGAGGTCACGGGTTCGAGCCGTGGAAACAGCCTCTTGCAGAAATGCAGGGTAAGGCTGCATACAATAGACCCTTGTGGTCCGGTTCTTCCCCAGATCCCGCGCATAGCGGGAGATTAATGCACCGAGTTGCCCTTTATACAAATTTCTTTTTGAAATGTTCTGCATTCAAAGTACTAAGATTCATTTGGTAAAAATCGATGATATGTAATGAAGTATTCGCGCATCTCGTGTTAACTATCTGCATACAAGTTTCTTATTGAAATGTTCTGCTTGTTGTATTAAGATTCATTTGCTAGCAAACAGTGATGAGTAATGTAGTATACCCTTTGATAGGTGTTTATTTAAATTTTAAGAAAAAATATATTCTGAAATAAGTTCACCAATGGAAGTAATTGCTTAATGGAGTTGCACACTATGTGCAAGCAGAATATCTGTAGAATGATGCAAATGGCTATGCAACTGTCAAGTTTGTCAATGCAACCTCTAATAAGAATGAAGGAGCATACAATATCCTTTCCTATAGTGTTTATTTTGGTTGAAGTTGGTAGAAGATTGATTGTACATCATATAACTTTCTAGGAGTAATCATTGAGCTGTAATTTGCGGAAAAATTGCACGGGCTAGTCAGTTTTCAGATTGGTCATTCAAACATAGCCAGCGATTGCAAAGTCAATGAAAAATAGCCACTATTTTGCTGTAACAGGGACCGGTCCAGCATAATATATTGGAGATCGGTGCACCTATGTATGAACTTCCAGCATATTATGCTGGAACTCCAACACGCGGAAAGTTCCAGCATAATATATTGGAAATTGGAGCACCGGTGTATGAACTTCCATCATATTATACTGGACCGGTATACTATATTGGAACTCTAGTATATTATGCTGGAGTTCCAGTATACTTATGCTAGAACTCCATTATAATATACTGGAGTTCCAGTGTACTTATGCTGGAACTCCAGTATATTATGCTGGAGTATTTTCCAGATTTTGAACAGTGTTTTCGTTCAGATTTATCTTTACATGAAAAGTGACTAAATTTCGATTACTTTAGAAACTGTAGCTATTTTTTGAATGACCACTTGTAAATCTGGCTATTTTGGAATTTGTCCCATGTCCTTTCCTTTGTTTCGAATAACGGCGGTCTTTACAACGACTTGTCACCTCGATTATTCCACTAGATACCTGCTACCAACACACGTACTGGTTAATTCTGCCCACCAAGGCTTTAGCATTTGTGAATACAACCTATCAAATTTGAACTCTGGTCTCCTATAGTTTTTCGTCCACTTCATTGACCGTTAGGCTACACCCTTGAGTTCCTCTTTCTTTTACTTCTTCACGACCCTAGGCCCTAGCCACCCCCGTGCGTTAAATGCGGGTTTCAATTTGTTTAGAAAAAAACGATGAAGTATTTTTCGGATCATTTATCTTGCAACTTGAATGAGGAACATACTATGTTCCACCAATAAGAAGTGACATGTTGACTAAAATGCAAAACTAATGGTACCATAATATTTTTCAAGTGTGAACCATAGGTAAGTTATACAGATCTTCAAGAGTTTCAAAATTTATGAAATTCACAATGATTTTTGTTGATTTATAGCATTTTGATACAACAACAACAACAACCCAGTATAATCCCATCAGTGGAGTCTGGGGAGGGCAGTGTGTACGCAGACCTTAACCCTACCCTGGGATAGAAAGCCTGTTTCCGATAGACCCTCGGCATCCCTCCCTCCAAGAACTCCTCGCCTCACTCTTGGGATAACTCAAACTCACAATACCAAGATAGAATTATTATACCGGAAATAGCCTTGCAAAAGCTAAAGTCTTGGAATTATCAAAAAGATCCAAAACTTTCACATTGAAACTGCTATTGGGAAACACTACATTCATCTGCTCCAATAATCTGCTCAAGTATTGGAAGAGATTCCAGGAGGCAGCTGTTGCTGCTAGTAAGGAAGAAAGGAACAACAATGACACAGTTCAAAATAGCTTCAGATGCTTCAATCTCAACAAAAAAAGAAAAAAAGGGCTTCAAATGGTCTACTCTTGGCTCTTGAATCTTGATACTTCTTCTCTAGCCACAAATTGGTAGAATTGTTATATGAAATGGTAATGTGTACCATAAACTTTGAATTACACCACCAGAAAATGACCTGAATACCATGTGCACATCGAGTAATCCTATCGGATACCTGCCACCTTCCACCAGCAACGGGTACCAGTTAACTCTATCCACCAAAGCTTGGATAGATGGGAAGAAATCATAGCCTCTGTCGGGACTTGAACCGAGACCTCATGGTTCTATAATAGTCACTAAAACAGGCAAGGTTCTTGAACCATGAAATCTTTTTATTTGCAACTTTTGAAGGTTATTGAGTCCTTGAGTCCAGCAGTCTGCTCCTTCAGCAAGTCAAATGATAAATACCTAGAATGAAGTAAATAGGCAAATAAAAAAAAGCAAAAACTCATGATAGGCTATCAATATGTACATGCAAGAAGATCAAGCAGTCAATAGTGTTAGAAAATAATAAACAAAAAAATGGCTTTGAGGCGTGAAAATCGACTGTCCTTAAAGAGTTATAGCCTGTATACTAATTTAGGGAAATACAAAACGATTCTCTTCAGGATACAACAAAGCCTGAAATAATACTTGTGATTTTTCTGTACTACTTCGTTGGAAATTCTTGAGTATTTATAGGCAACCAACATACCTTTTCAGAAAAGATGTCTTGTTTCACAAACAGACATATTCAGTTGGACCCTTTCATAACAGACACAATTATTTATTCGAATTTTGAATTTAAAATTCAAATAAATTTAATTATTTTCTGTCACAAAAATAAAATAATTAATTTTAGGATCCCACCCGGCCCAAAGACATAATATGGACAAGTGCTTAAAAGGCTCCAAAAATGCCTTCTCTCTTCCGATGTGGGAACAACCCACTTCCCAACATAACAAACAATCTTACAAATAGTACCATCTATCTCAACTTAAAAAAGAACTAAAGATACCGTCTCTAGCTGAAGTGAATTTAGCAAAGTGCAATATTGAGCAAAGTAGTAACTTTCTAGTTTTAATGCAAAAGAGGCTCATCTCAATGAATAAATAGAACGACACAATTAACAGATATGTATTTGTTAACAAATTTAAGTATGAGTAAGCTAAAGTTTCTGGGACATGACTTTTCTGTTTAGGGGAAGTCCTCAAAAGGTTTGACAGGATAGAGTTGCCAAATACTAGGCTGACATAAATCTTTTAGTTATGGTCAGCAAAATTCTTAATCATTGCTCTTAGTGTTTGCATTTGTATAATAGTTATGGTCAACCAAATTCTAATCATTTGCTCTTAGTGTTTGCATTTGAACATAGTTACTATAAACTTGAGAACATCTGCATTATTAATCAGGAATGATATTGTAACTGTAAAACCTAAAATAATATGCCTACGTGGGTTGTACTTTTGGTGGTAACCAACGATCGTTTTAGTACTAGGTTGGGCTGGTCATTTTTGTTAGATTATAAAACCACTTATACACTATAGGAGGAGTGGGAGGGGGAGGGGGGGAATAATGTATCAACCAATTAAAATATTCAACCAGAATTTTACGTATTTCCATAATCATGCTTGAAGCGGTTCTTGCAACTCCTATGACTAATAAATGCACCAAAAAAAAAAAAAAAAGAAGGCAAGAATTTCTTCGTGAAAACCCTCCTTACTCAAAAGAGTAAAAACCACAACGTAACAATGAAATTTTTCTCAAAAACTTCACTAAAAATAACAGGTAGTTCAAGTTACAAAACTCTTTTACAACCTAAGAGACTAAAAACTAATCACTTAACCAGCCTACAATCCAAATGATTGTAGCTACACACTCGAAACTAATCTCTTAGTCTAGGACATAAAGATTGTCGCACAATAGTAGTTCTTACAAAATGCTTCTAGAATAAGCAACATGTTAGTATATTAACATTTCATTAGTAAAATAAAGTAGGTCATATTTCTCATAACTCCCACTACTTTATGATGTAAAGAATGACCATAACTTTTTTGTAACTCTTCTCTCATGTTCTACAATTAATTACATACTAATTTATCCATTATCCCATGTTCTTCATGATTTCATAACTTATTACTCCACTTTCTTCCAATTTAATTCAAGGAAGAATTCCTACACCTATAAATAAAAGTCTTTCTTCCATAGTGTGGTGTGTTAAAAAATTATTGAGTGCTCAAAAAGTAAGGTTAAAGTTGTGAAAAAGAAGAAGAGAGTTTACTTTTGTTGAAGGAAGGTGTTCATCTTGGTGGAGCTTTGTACTCAACAACTTGTCCAGAGTTTGTTCGAGTTATATGATGTGATCGGACTGTTGTATCCTGGGGGAGACAAGTCAAGAGGATTACTGCTGGACCAGCGACGACTTTGTTGCAGTGGGCTTAAATCTCCTAAAAGAGAGCGAGATATCCACGCCTCAGCCTAAAGATATTTTATTTTTCAACCGTAATTGTATTTTCACCAACAATTTTAAGGAGATTCAAATAACTACAGTTGAAAAATCCGCGGATATCAAGGTGAGAGATCTCAACAAGCCATTCTGTTTGAACGATACTCATCTTAAGAGATGAAAGGATAAAGTACTTTTTTTTTTATTTTAGTCTTCTCAATGTTTCTTACATTTTAACTGAGAAGAATTCAATCAAAGTGGACAACTCCTCCATGAATGATGATGAGCTAATTGCCCTTCAAGAGAAAATTAAAAAAGTACAACGATGATTCATACAAGTATAGGTATTATCTTCTTAATTGTCTATCTGATAATTTTTATGATTATTATGATATAACTTACTCTACTGCAAAAAAAAAATTTGGAAAGCATTGCAA